CTAAATTTTTTGTCATTGTATTGAAGGCATTTTTTATGAACAAATTTGAAAAAAAAAAAAAAGTTTCTAAAGTCTAATGTAGTCTGGGATAGATCGCGTTATCTGCCCCAGGCAACGGCAGCACGGGGCACTGACAATTCTTCCAATTCTTCACTTTAATACAAGTTATAACATGAATGTACATCAGAGGATATGTTGAAAAAACTTACAATCATGTGCCTATAAGCAGTTTTAACCAGGGAAATCATCAGTAGAACAGCCTGTGAAGAATGTGTCAGTTACGTGACATTTACCTCAGGAAGAAAAAACCGTCTAATCATATCGCCAAAATTATAAATACATTAGGCCTATACATTTGTGTAGAATATAACCAAGTTTTTATAACAACCATTTAAATGACTATCCCCCGGTTTCACAGACAAGGCTTAAGCCTAATCCCAGACTAAAATCTAAATCTGAGCTGTTTCAACTGAAAGAAACTTGCTCTGACTGATCTTAAAATATATCAGTGCCTTTATTTTGTCTCAAAATGCCCACCAGTAATGTTTTTTTTCTAAGGCACGTTTATAAAAATGATTTAAATTGAACTATGGCCTAATCCTGGTTTAGTCTAAGCTCTGTCTGTGAAACCAGGCCTATATCTAAAAAATTAAGCATGTCATAATCACAAAATTAGTAAGGTTTTTATAAAAAATAAAAGTTCACAATGTAGCCTAATAAGCCTAATTTAATTTTAATAAAACTATGATTATGTTTTGTGCTCAAATGTATTATATTGAAAGATAATTATGATATTGTAAACAACATATTTTTTTTAATTATGTGCTGGTATTACATTATGAACTGTGATTACATTATACGTTGCCACAGTGTGTTCATAATGTAATAAATTTATCATACAATAACCTATTACATTATGTGAAAAATTGTTATTACATTGAAAAATGATTACATTATGAGCTCAAGATTTTATTACGTTTTGAGAAAAATATTACAATATGAACATTTTATTACAATAACAATGTAATATTTATTACATTATGTGCAGTTTTTATATTATGAGTTGCTACACGTGCAGTTATTACATTATGAGTTGCTACACGCATGTTTAACATCTTCCTGATTTGGCCAGCTTCTAAGTGAACAATCAATTTGTGCCAAAATGGGACACATTGCCTTTGACATCAACAACAGAAGACGTTACATTTATTCTGATGCATTTTATTATTTGCATTTAGCATTGTTATTTTCCTATCTGCTATCAGATGTGTCCCATTTTTGGTTTACGACTCACCAGTTGAGAACCACTAATTCACAGAATATTGCTCATCTTAGCTTTCTTTAATAAAAACACTCAAAGAATGCTGTGTCCAGCACTGATATGCTGGAATATAGTCTTGCGCACAATAAGAATAAACTTCAAGACCAGCATGACCTGTTTCTGCAATCCCGATTAGGTCAAAATAATATGCTAAAAACTGATTATGCAGTCTGCATTCTTTCTCAAGAAAATGCCTGAGGGCTCCCAAAGCAACTTTTCTCATTCCTCAGGAAAAGTAATGCTATACAAAATATCAGGGATATTTGACTGAAATTAAAATACAAACCTGTCCACACTGATTGCACAAAGGTTGAATATTGATGCTGTGCAGAGCATTACATCCATGGTCATTAATCCATCGCAAACAGACACATCTAAGGACCAGACACCACCTTGAAACTGGAACGACAGATTTATTTTGTCAAGAAAGATTTTTAATGAGCACACTTCCTCACATTGAAGAGCATATTCAATTCATTTCAAATAGGTAACCAACTTCTTTGGATATAGATTCAGACTGTCCTTGATTCTCTTAATGAGTCAAACTAAACTAATGAGCCTAACGAAGCCACAACTTGACTGATTTAATGTGATGGCAACTTGAGGATAACAAGATAAGTGGCCTAAAACCTAAAAAGCTTGAGAAAGGGATTCAAAGAGGGAGTTATCTAGGAGCCTATGCAGTAACTCTTTTCAAATAAACTATCTATCTATCTATCTATCTATCTATCTATCTATCATCTATACACACATACATACAATATAAACACAAATGAATAAGTTACATTTGTCATTTATTATAAATTAGAATGCAATCGTAATCATACACTCTAAAAAATGCTGGGTTAAATATAACTCAGCGCTGGGTTATATTTAACCCAGCATTTTTTAGAGTGTATCTGAAATTTGTCACACTACTTAAAACGACTAGTCTAGCCGATATCTCAGTGCTAATTCATTTCTGATACACTGACCTACAGTATTTTGAGATAAAGTAGACCTACATGCCTTATAAAATGCACTTTTTTGTTTATAATATATATTTGGGAACTTAAACGAATTACACAATGAACCTCTCATTATGTCTCAAACATACAGTATTGCGCTTAAACACAACACTTACCTCTGCATAGACAAACAGGGGTAAAACCAAAACTGCCAACAGCAGATCTGCCACAGCCAAACTCACTATGAAATAGTTTGTCGTTGTCTTCAAGGCTTTTTCCTTGTAAACACTCAGGCACACAAGCACATTTCCACAAATGATCACTATGACGAGTAAAACCCCAAACATGAGAGCAGGAACATTGTAGGTAAAGAGCTCGGGCTGAAGTGTGTTGTTCACGCTCGAGATATTCATTGTTCATGATCCGAGCGAGAACGGCTTCTACGGGGAAACTTTTCATAAATGTCTCATGTTGTCCTGTCCACTGTGGTCCATCGCTGCTCATCTTGTGTTAGTCAGAAGACAAGCCATCTACATCAGCAGCACAGCGCCAGATAGATGCATTGAGTAGGTCAGTCCATCTGCTGTCTCTCCTTAAATAACACAGTCCGATAATCTGTGAAAATCGCGAGCTGTATTTCGTTTA